GTCCCTAGCTTTCGTCCGCCCTGCTCGCAAGTAAGGGTGTTGGTTTCGTGGAGTAGGGATTTGGGAAGGGGCTGGAGTATGAGTAGGTTCAGAGAAGTGGTTTAGAGTTCCGGGTATAGGGCGTGTTGTGTTTAATTATGGTTTTTGGATTGGGTTTGGGGTTTGGTAGTTTGCGGTGGCTTCGAGACTGTAGGATCGAGAGTTTGACACTTCCCAGTTCAACTTAATGTTTGAGGTTTTGGACTCCTTAATTAGCCAAATCCTCCTGGCGTCGCAACTACTAGAGACCGAAAGAGGCGGCCGCGCCGCAGTCATGAATGAGATGAATAGAGCCCGGAGCCGTAGAGATCGCCTCCAAGTGCCTACCCACGTGGATCCGGCGGAGCCTACTAGTGCTATAGTTACAAGGAGACACAGGCTTTAACCTACTGTATTCCTTGCATGGATTTCCCTGTTATCAGAACTTCGGGTTTGAGGTTGTATGGTATTGCGGGGCTTAGGTGACTCTGACTCTGGAAGATGGAAACTCCTCGCCAACTTGAGGACGGTAAGAAGTAGCTTTCCAAACCCGAGACAAACAGCCTGCAATGAACACTTCATGAAATTTGTTGTTGTTTATTCGGGTCGCGTTGTTCGAGTTGGGGCTGCGAGCTGCAAAAATCCTGAGCGACTTGACTTGGTGGTGCACGGATGTACCCTTGGTGCGATCTGTATACCTGGACACCAGTTCTGACCATCGATGTATCCACCAAAATGCGCGACGAAACTCAATCCGAAATCCTCTGCAGGCATCGAGGATTTCATGGCCAATGTGGAGGAAGGAGTGCGGGCCGTGAAGCACGAGGCTCCGCATGGTCATATCAAGCCTCAGCAACCTGCTACTATGAGATGCTATACGATGTTATACTACACTATACTGTACTATGCTATACTATGCTATCCTTTACTTCACTTTACTATGTCTTGGCAGCTTCTTTCTCAGAGTTCTCTTATTCGAAAATGGTAGCCTGGACGCCCGCCGTGCAGTGAGTGCAGTGTGGGATCCTGTTGTTCAGTTATAAGAAGTCTGCTTCGGGTCAGTATAGCTCGCTTTGCGAAACCTTGATGGAATATGATTATGAATTATGTCGCACGGTACGATGATACAATACTATGATTTACGTCTTGCTCGCGCTGTTTGTGAGGCAGAGGCCCTTCGCCAGCCGTTTGTCGCTGCTGGAGAGGACCCACGTTCTGAGAATTCGGTATCTGTGCCGTCAGTTTGGTTGCGAGAAGCTTCGTGCAGGTGCCTTCGGTTTTCGGCTAGTTACACCGAAATCCCGAAGACTAAATCCTGAGCCCGAATTGGGAGATGGAGGTGCGTTGTGTGCAGGAGTGGAACTCTCGAATGAAAAACTTCATGCAAGAGCTGGAGCAGCAGGCGGGTTCGATAGCCTGTGTCTTTGCAAAGCGGGTAGAGCACCTCAACTCCTGTGCCTCTGGCAATCTCCTGAAACGATTCGTCTTTGATCGCAAACGCACTTTGCCCTCTTTTTGGAGTTCAAAAACGATGCGGTGAGAGGAGATACGTAGTCGCTTCATACAGTTCGGCATTTGGCAGCATGCGAAGGTGTGTGCGTGCGCGCGCGCGTGTGTNNGTGTGTGTGTGTGTCAGACCATCCATTCCTCAACAGACTTTTTTTGTGGAATGCGGGAAACAAGAAGACCTGCACTCTCCCACCACTTCAGATGCCGTCCGAAAATCGAACTCCAACTCCAAACACCCTGCGCCTTGGAAGCTGAAGAAGTCCATGTCAGGTGCGGCAGCCCATCTTGGAAGCCGCTGAGCGGTTTCAGGAGCCATGACTGATGAATGTCTTACAGAATGACCACATGACCACATGTCGCTGTTGTGTACCGTCAATGCATGTCGGGGGCTGCCTGTTTTGCTGCTTGCCTGCCTGCCTGCCAGCCTGCCT